TCAGAACTTCTGCATTTTTCTCCACTTCAAATGTTTCCACCCTGGGACTTGGGATTCCGATCTCTACGGGTATGACTGCCTCAGATCCGAACGTCATGCTAAATGGGCTTTTTCCTGTGGCAGTCCGAAGAGTCGTACGATAAGCCCATAACACTTCTGGAAGAATATCAATCCATAAACCCTTAGCCTCATCGAGCCTCGTTTTCAAAGCTTGCAAGATAGTCCTGTTGGTGACCTCTGCCTGGCTGTTGGACTGAGGGTATGTTACCGAGGTTGTCCTGAGGTCTATAGACAAACCTTTGCAAAACTCTCGGAAACGCTGGTTATCAAACTGCTTTCCATTATCAGTGATAAGTGCTTTTGGAACTCCAAAACAACACACAATGGACTTTCATGTGAAACCTTGGATCTGCTTCTCAGTGATATGAACCAAAGGTTCTGCTTCGACCCATTTTGTAAAATAGTCAATGCCCACGATCAGTAACTTTCTTTGCCCAGTGGCCTGTGGAAAAGGTCCCAAAATGTCCATCCCCCATATTGCAAATGGCCAAGGGGTGAAGACCGAGGACATGGGAACAACTGGAGAATGGAGGATGTTCGCATGCTTTTGACATTTTTTGCATCTCTTGACGAAGTTCATTGCGTCTTCTCTTAGGGTAGGCCAGTAATAACCTTGTCTGATGATGACTTGGGCTAAAGATCTGCCCCCCAAGTGATTTTCGCAGACTCCTTCGTGCACCTTTCTTAATGCATAATTAGCCTCATCCGGCCTAAGGCATCTAAGGTATGGCATGTTGTACGACCTCTTGTACAAGTGGTTGCCTATGATCGAATAGCGGGCTGAGCGTTGAATTATTTTCTTTGCCTCTCGCTGGTCATCGGGCAACTTTCCATCTTTAATGTAGTCCACAATAGGATCAATCCAACTGTGTATTGGTCGAGGCTCATCACTTGCTCTTCCTCTATACTGCGATGATGAAGAAATTCCACTGGTATGGTTTTGATGAGCTCGTGATAAGGCGATATTGCGAGCTTAGACAGTGCGTCTACCTTGGTGTTTTCTGTCCTTGCGACTTGCTGAACCCCACAATACTTAAATAAAGAGACCAAGTCTTTCACCTTAGTTTGGTACCTGACCATCATGGGATCCTTTGCCTCATAGTCTCCACGACTTTGACATACGACCAATTGTGAGTCACTATGGCATTGCACACGTCGGGCGCCCAGCTCCAACGCCATCTTTAGTCCAGTTATGAGAGCCTCATATTCAACCTCGTTGTTTGAGGCCTTAAACTTGAACCTTAGAGAATAATAAGAAACATCACCTTCTAGGCTGGTTAAGGTCAATCCAGCCATGCTCCAGTTTTGATTCGATGATCCGTCAACATACAAGGTCCAACAGTCTTCCATGGGCTCTTCGATGTTTGGTATTATCTCTGTTGCCAGAGGTGTATGCTATTCTCCCGTAGTACACTATACTACAAAATCCGCCAAGGTCTGGGCCTTAATAGCCGTCCTCGGTCGAAACTGAACACCAAATTCACTAAGCTCAACGCACCACTTTACTAGCCTCCCAGTTGCTTCCGGATTCTGTAGAATTTGTTTCAACGGTTGGTCTGTGAGTACAACCACCACATGTGCTTGGAAATACGGTCTCAACTTACAAGCTGAGATAACCAAGGCCAATGCCAACTTTTCGATCTTAGGATAGCGAAGTTCTGCGCCTCCTAGGACTCGACTCACATAATAAATCGACATTTGGGCTCCGTCTTCTTCTCGGATTAACACCGAGCTTACAGCCGCATCCGACACTCCGAGGTATAGGTATAAAACCTCTCCTTGTTGTGGCTTTGTCAAAAGTGGTGGAGAACCCAAGTAAGATTTTAGATCCTCGAACGCTCTTTGACAGTCTTCTGTCCAAGCGAAAATATTTGCCTTCCTTAACACTTTGAAAATTGGTAGGCTCTTTTCTGCAGATTTTGACAAGAAACGACTAAGTGCTGCTAGTATCCCAGTGAGCCTCTGAATTTCTTTCACTGACTTAGGAGGATTTGTAAGCCCCGACCCAAAATTATATTAGTAGCTCGACTTTATTTATCAAAATTAGTAATATTTTAATTCTGCCGAGAATTTTTAGTATTAATCATATAATTTATTTAATTTCAAGTCTAAGCCATAAGAAGAACGTTTGAATTATTATTTTAGAAACGAGATAAAAATCCTAAGTCTAAGTCTCGATAGATTATTTTTATCGAGTAGTAGAAAAATCGGAAATTTATTTAATTCCCAAGCGAGCCCAATTTATGGGCCCATTTATGTGGGCTACTTTTATTTCGGCAAATCGACCTAATTTATTAATTACCGGGGCCCAACTATTTTAAATCAAGATATTTTTTTAATTTAGTCGAATATATCTTATCTCGACCCACTTAGTATTTAATATTTCGAGCTCAAGTAGTATTTTATAACCGAGCCCAACATTATTTATTCGGTCCAAGTAGTAGTATTTATTTTCCTAAGCCCTAGTTAAATTAAAACCGAGCCCAAGTCTTTTAGCCCAATGGCAAGCCCAAAATGAGTTCAAAACCCTAACTTTCTCTTATATTTATACAAGTGGCATTAACTCACCCTCCCAACACCACACATATCTTATCCATTAGCTCACTATTCATTCATCTTCTTCAAGATGCTCCACTCTCTATAGCTAAGCTCCAAGAATCCTTCAAGCACCCTCACCTTCATATTTTCCAGCCAACTCCACTAGCTCCGGCG